GACTACCATGAGTATTGTTTCAATCATTGGATAGAAATGACATGGTAGTCCCCAAGACTTCAAAATTGACCCACAATTCATCAAAATTAGCTGACCGGGAGTACAAATATGACCACCTTTTTAGTTAAAACTGCCATTTTGTATGTGAGCACATACAATGCCAATGTTCTCCATTATTCATTTTTTACAGTAGCATAACATTGTGTAAGTTATCAATACAATCATTTATTATTGGAGCTTGGTGAAGAAACACTGTGGGAAAGCAAGCTATTCACATTTTACTAAAGCATCAGATGACACCTTCAGCCAGAGCAGCATGAGACAATATCCTTCTGTACTTCTGAACATAGGCCTATGTTGTAGCTTGCTTTCGCACAGTGTTTCTTCACCAAGCTTTTCTACTAGGCCTTTTTCTGCAAAAGAAAACCCTAAATCAGTATTTGTACATCAGCCTTCATTTTCGGGCCCTGCAATCATTTTCCTTTTTATTTTTTACAGTTTTTTAAATGCGACAAAAATCAGCAGTATTCGTGACAGAGGGTGTTTCTCAATGTCGAGGAAAGCTGCTCCAGAGCCACTATTTCAAGGATACAACGTCATCGAGTCCTGCCGAAGGACTGTTCCAATGTCCAGGATACTTGGAATTCTACCGAGGCCGGCATACTTCGTTGCGGGAAATTTCGAGGCTGCACATGTGTAGACTCTGCGGTCTTAAAATCCCCACAATGCTTTGCGCATGGACCAATTTCCCAAATCTTTGGTGGAAAATGTAAGGCGGGACCTCTCATATGACGCACACACTTGCTAGCCTGTTCCATTATGCTTGCCTCGCTTCTGAAGGAACTCACTCAGAGGTACATGTGCTACCAAGCAAGCCTCCTCGACATTGAGAAACACCCAGAGAAGTGAGATTAGACTGTGAAAGGATGGCGGAAGACTGGAGTCTGGCGGAAGACTGGTGTGGTTGTCAAGGCGACCGCTAACGTGGTGCATTGCTAAAAGAAACTAGCTCATTTAGCAAGGCTCGATGAGAAAACACCATACTAACTGTCAGGAAACAACTTAATCTGTCACTTTACCAGTGCTAACCCACACACGCAGGGCCGCCCCTCCCTACAGGCCAATCACGCAGGCTGCAAGGGGCCTCGCCTTGCGCAGGGGGCCCCGACCAGAGGGCCTCAGCTGCTGTGCGCAGTTATCCGCTCAGTTCTCCGCGCACACCCCGCGAGAGTGAGAGGTGACAAGGGGAGCACGTCTGTAACCCAACACCGTTGCAATGAATCGACATCTGACCAATCACGGCTTTGATACGGCCACTAGTGCAGGTGAAGAGATGTCGGTGAAAAGACAGTTTCAGTCCGGCGCAAGCAAGAGGGAAAAAAAAAAAACATGAAGAAACTAGAGCATCACTCGAAGGTGGGTTATTGTGTGAGTCAAATGTACAACTTGCGAATGTTGTATAAGTCAAATTGCCATTTGCCATATTAAAACATCAGCTGCAATTCACGACATGAAGAAGGCAGTCTCTGCAGAGCATATAGGCTAATGGAGATGCAGTTATTTCCAGCATTCTTTATTTACCATTCATTCAAGTATGTTATGCCTTTTATCTGCTAATGTACAGGAGGAAGAGTGATACACTGTCTGTCTAGTTGGCTTACATAACAGTTAAAGTTTACAGCCTAAAAAACATGGAGCATTTTTCCCCCTTTTATTCATTTTTATGTGAATTTGCACATTTCATGGTGACGCTCAGCCTCTCCCCTTAACTCCTAACAGTCATCATCATGTCAACCACAACACAGAGAAATACTGATAGAAATGTGTGTTTAGTTGTTGATACATTGCTGACAGAGGGAACTACGTTTGAATACAGATTTAAGAAATATCAGTTTTAGCATAAGCATGTTTTGTCTTGACTATATTACAACTATATTATAATAAAATAATATAGTATTTATATTATTGAATTGATGATTATTATTATTAGTAGAGTTTATTTGCATTAATTATATTTTAATCTTTTTGAGGCTAGTATTTGGCAGGAAATGCAGACGTATTCACCTGTAAACGCATACTGAACGACATACATGCACATTTACCTCACTGTATAACAAAGTAACTGTGTTGATAATGATAATAAACAGGAATTATATTTGCAAAGTAGCCTACTTTGTTTCCCAAAAAAAAGTTCACTCCTGTCGGTTGGGGAGGCTCATCTCACAATGTCGCTTGGGACCCCAAGTTGGTCAGGGGCGGCCCTGCACACAGGCCACACAGTAGACAGCTTGAAGTGTACTAGCTTTTGAGACAGCGTACATGCCTGATTGCCTGTGTGTAGTTAGCCTATATGCTAACGTGTGTCAGTTTAATGCAGGGGTGGGGAACCTCCGGCCTCCGGGCCGTATACGGCCCGCGAGACCATTTCGTACGGGCCTCGAGGTAATTTATAAACACACGCAAAAAAGAAAAGAAATCTAGACCGCAGAATAATTAGAGCGCCTATTTTTCCTGGCCAAGGTCAGTGTCCTTGAACACAACACGAGCCTAACGTGTCATCACGTGGTATATGTCTCGTCTGACAGGGGTGTAGTTCTAACCGAGAGCACCAGAACGAAGCTCCGGGCCGGGACTTCACAAATTGCAATACCCATAAGGAGCTGTACACTTGCCGCAGTTTTTGCGTGGCTGTGTCTTTAGTTGAAAGCCCAGTGGCGATCTGTTCATCTGTCATTCTGATCATACAGTCAATAACTTTGTTGTTATTAGCATCTGGTTAGCTAGCTATGCTAACGAATATAAGAAGCTTTTTCTACAACCAGTGAGGTAAAGGCACATCTTTATATGATCATTATAGTTATAAAACAATAAGAGAATAAAGTAAACAGGTATAAAATACTATATGACAGTAAAAAAAAGTTATTATTAAACAAGAATACAGTTTTAAAGGAGAGTGATTTGTAAAATATCCATAAAGAAAAAAATCTGCTTACAGTTTTGTTTCATATGGGTGTTGAGAAATGTATCCATAGATCTATTAATTGTATTCTCAAAGTGCACCAGATTGATGCTTTTAACTTCAACATTAAAAAAAAATCTTCCTGGTGGTGCATGCCCCCAAACCCCCCTAGATGAGGTTAGACCCCCCCCCCCCCCCCCACTTAAATTGGATATGAAACTAAATACATTTGCACACATCTTGTGTCCATATATTTCTGTTATGATGGTCATGCCACGGTGCATGCATGCGCGGGTCTTGGTCAAATATCTGGTTTAAGAGGTTGCTTTTTCTTTGCACAGCATGAAAGAAAGGCAAATCAATGGGCTGTGATTTTACTTTTTTAAGCAGACGTTGACTTCAATAATTTGTACGGCCCTTGAAGGATGTTGTAAAAATTGAAATGGCCCTTGAGAAGAAAAAGGTTCCCCACCCCTGGTTTAATGGAACACAAGAGAGAAGCTGCATGCTGAATGATGCATTCACTGTCGGATAACATGCAGGTAACTACTAATGTAGCCGGACTGGGGCAACGAGTGTCAGTAATAACATGTCAAAGCTTACTAACGTTAGTTTACGTTAGCTGACTTAAATTGGTGACAGTCAGGGCACGTTTATCAGCCACGTGACCTAATTGTAAAGTGGTGTTTACTAATAAGGCAGTAGCCTATGTCATAGTGTTAGCTGCCTGACAGTTCATTCATAGCATTCAGGAATGGATGCATCCATGCGGATGTATTCAACTACGGTCATAATTTAGTTTTGAAATCTTTAAATAAATGCTTTCATATAAAATAATTGATGGAACAAAATCTATAAAGGCACATTAGAGAGTTTCTTTTTTACTGTAAGCATTAAACGCGGGGCTTTCCTCTGCTAGCAGGCAGTGTGCATCGGACTGCTGTCATTAGAAGGCTGTGGCCAGTTAGCAGAGTAGCAGCCGACCTGAGAGTCCCTGCCATGGTAAATGAAAGCGAGACAAAGCTGCAGGAGACAATGCTGCTTCTGATCTTTGCTTTTTAAATTACACATTTCGCTTCCAGAAACCTATCCCCCTCCGTCTCTTCCATCTCCTCTGTCTCCGTATCACTATTAACCTTCCATCGCATTCCGTGCATGTTGGAGACAGCCCCCATACCCCTCCCCTCCCCCAAATGACACTACGGCTGGCTGTACCTGAGCCCGAGCAGCCTGCAGCGGGCTGATGCAGAGCTGCAGCATTGTTACAGCCGCTCAGCTGCACTGATGCCCGGCAGCAGCACCGTGAGGAGCCCGGCTTTGGACACCGGAGCTTACCTTGCTTTGGCCGATCTGTCGTAGCCCCATCCCGTCCCAGCCCCGAGATCTCCGAAACCTGCAGCGGGGTAATTCCTCTCCATGAAAGAAAGGCTGGATGAAGATGGGCAGATAGTGAGGGGGAGGGGAGGGAGGAATGTGTTCTCTTCTCTGCGCTCGCTTCTGTTTATTTCTCCGCTTCACGAGCCTGCAGACTAGGAGGAATGGAGGGAGAAGAAGGGATGGGGGGGGGTCACAGCAGCCAGGAGCACCTCCTCCCTCCTCTCCCCATATATCTCACTGTCTATTGTCTTCGGTGCTCAGCTTATGAGTCGTAGAACAGATGCTCTGCGTTCTTAAGCAGCTTTAATAAGAGAAGCAGTTACACATCCAGCCGGCAGCTGCGCACACACACACACACACAAGCTACTTTCGATCATTTTGTTCACAAGACGCCATTTTTTTTAAGAAATGACTGGGCTGGCGTTCATCCTCTCACACACACACACACACACACACACACACACACACACACACACACACACACAGCAGTATTGTGACAGACAGTTAAAATGCAGACTGGTGAAGGAGCTCAGTGGTATTGCTTGAATAGCGTGCTGTGGAACAGCGTGTGAAGGAGGATGCTGACATCCTGCTCTTTGGGTGTATCTGCACATGGACCTCACCTGTCTGTTTCGGCCTGACAACACTTGCAAAAAGACTGGAGGCATGTGTAATTGTTGTTTAATTTATTACATAAAACATGCTCAGTTTTCTTGGAAAAAACAATTCTCCCTATGAAAAGATTCTCGTCTTTTGTTGCTTCGTTTAGAAATACCTTACAAACACAACACAGTTTGGTGTACAGTGAAACCACAAAAATGAACCGCACCCAAGTGTAGTATACGCTTTGTTCATCATTCTGTCAGTAGCGTCCTTTCGGTCCTAACTTTACTTATAAATACAGTAAGTAGTTGACTCAAACCCCCGGTGCCCACCACAGCTCCAGCAGAGGCTCAGACCGCTCTCTCTCCGTCCCCGGGATCAGCGGGTTCTGAGGGCGCGCCCCTGTCAGAGAGAGGAAACATTTGTGAGAGGGCTCACACAGCAGCGTGTTGGAACAAGACAGAGCTGAAGCATACTGTGGACCACTTACGGCCCGTCCACACAGCGGCGTGCGTTGACGCTTCACCATTCACTTTGAATGGGGTGACGTCACTTTTCGCCGAACTGCATTGTGGGAAGCGACGCGGAGCGTTGCTGGCGTGGCTCGCTGCAAAAGTTGAGCAATGTTCAACTTTTGAAGCCTCGGCAGAAGCGTCAGACAATCAAATCATATGCCAGTACAAGCTCTAGCCAATCAAACCGCTGCTTGTGTGTCAGGGGCGGGAGATTCATGTGATTGGTTGTTGGTCGAGTTTCAGACACGCACGCCGCTGTGTGGACGGGCCGTGAGAGCTCCAACAGACTTAAAGTAAAAGTGTAGACGATGTTGGATGATCAGAATGGTAAGCGGGCCAGGTTTTTGCGGTATTAGGATATGGGAAAAACTATCTTCAATGAAAGATGTATTTTTTTAACATACAGTACATTTTGGAGATAATGTAGGTTTGTCATTAGGAGATTTCTTTCCAGCTTCACCTGTATGCTTTTATGGTGTTTGGCTGGATCTTGGACCACCACACAGGCCTGATCCATGAAAGATGCATGTCCATTCTGTAGCATCCCTTACCCTGAATAAGGTGGTGGGGGGGGCATCATGTTGCCCAATGCGGATCAGAGCCTCATTGTAGCTGGGTAAACCTGGGACCATGATCCCAGCCAGAGGCACGGTCTCTGGGGCCGGACGGCCGTCTGCTGCCATCCTCACTGGAGCTCTGCACAGAGGAAACACACACACTCAGTTACCGTCACGCTGAGTGCTTGTGCTAGAGAGTGAGGTCAAACATTAGGATCTCTCCTGTTGTTAGGGGGTTTGACTCATTATTACTGTCTGTCTGTTTAAGTTATTTTACTATGCTTTGAGATGATCCCTGATAATGTTGTGTTTTGTCTTTTTACTTCAGTCAGTTATTTTTTACAGACTAAGAGATTTGTTGGCCAGGCACCAGGAAGGACATTGATTGATAAATGTATTAATGCAGGATGTTATTAGGTTGCATATACCATTTTACATTGTAATACATAGAATAGAATACAATCAAAGATCAAGATTATTATCTTCACAAGAAATAATAGCCGGACATTTCTTTTGCAGTTAAACTTAGAGGTTTCCTTAGGAGAACAATCATATTTACTTTTTGTCCCATGACTCCCTCCTAACAGAAGGTTTAAAAGATTTTTTTTCAGAAGCTGCTATATGGCAAGTGACCTTCCTGTAGTACCTCGAGCCTGCAATCAACATTCAAATATTTGGCACTCATTTTTGACCAGCAGATCTCAGGTTTTGGACATTCTTGAGTCATGCTAGTTAGAAGGTCACGGGGTCCGGGTAACTGAACCCAGACATATCATTAGAAGAGGATCCTTCAGATACCACATCCGTTAGGAGAGTTAAAATGTTATGGCCTGAGACAAAGTGCTGGTTGGAAGGCCTGAGGGACCAGGGGTTACATTGGGATTTGATATGTGGGGGGGCTCTGTGTGGAGGTATATACGCAAAATACTTGTACGTGCTTGTATTGGTCTGGCGTACTAGAATAGTTTTAAATATGTATGTGAAAATCTCAGTTCATTTGTAGGGCTGCGCGATTATGGCCAAAAGTTTGCTGTATATCTCACGGTAAACAATTTGACCATCACCACATTCTGTGATATTATGAGCGATCATAACTCAGCTTTATGCACACGCATACATTTAGCATGGTTTAAGAAATGGGCTCCGTGTTACAGGACGGGTCTGGTGGTTCTGCAGCACCGCCGCAGACTCTGCACGGAGGATTAGCGGAGTCCGGCGGCGGGGGGCTGCAGCTCCTGATCGAAGCAGAGACACACGCTCACTAAGCCAACAAACTATAGCCAGTCACAGAGTTCTGCTATTTTAAAGTATCGACCATAAATATAGTCTCTGTCAAGAACGAGAAGTTTTAACATATATGTAAATACAACTATATATATATATATATATAGTTTTTGGAAAACCTATGACAAATGTGCGAGGGCGATGACGTCAGATCGTCCTATGTGCCGGGCCCAATTTAACCCCTGTGAGGGACTACAGTTATAATTGTATTCACTTTAATATAAGTTAGCTGGATAAAAGCGCGCCTGTGTGAATGTTCACATCAGGGTGAACTTCTGGGGCTGACCTTCGTCCTCTTTTGTTCTTGGCTTTGTAGCAGTAGATGCCCAGCACAGTGGCAAAAACAGCAGACACCAGGACGGCCAGGATCCCGGCCACCAGCCCTGACACATCCACTCTGGGAGCATTCGCTGCAAAGACAAACACCACTAACATCACACCATTGCTTCATATTAACCTCTCATACCATCAGTCAGCTCTGAGTTAGGGAATGAGAATGTGAGGTCATCAACGTGAACTCGTCCATCTTTGGAGGATAGTGGCGACCTGCCTCCTGAACCTGTACAGCGAGCGGAGTGGCCATAACTTTTCACTTTAACGTTTTAAACATGGTCAGTAAGTTATGTTGTGTCTCAGGCTTTAACAGCCACTCCTATGACCTAAGAACAAAACAAAGACCATGGGATTACATTGTATTCTTCTAAACTAACAGGTAGACGAGGGAGACGTAGAAACCTCAGCAAGAGACACTGAATGTGTTGAACTAGAGGACCACAAATCACTACACTGGGAACGTGATTTAAAACAGTCGCAGTATGACATTAATTATGCATGATAAACTGATGTTTTGTTAGCATAGAATCAGCTGTCTTACCTCTGTCCGGATGACTCAATAGTTGTCATTAAACCTGTATTTGTGAATGTCCTGTACACCGCCATTTGTGAACTTGACATTGGCCATCACATTTTTATTTTTTTTAATTACCTAGGTAATAGACACTTACTCTAAACACCAGAGAGGACCGACATCAGAGACACTGTTCATGCTTCTCTTAATTCATACGGGCATGTGTTATTCATTAACCCCTCTTTTGTGGTTATTTTTCTTTACTTGCTTGTAACGCGCTTTGAACACTAGGAAAAGCACTTTATAAATAACATGTATTATTATGATAAAAAAAAATTATATAACGCTCACTCTGTTCCTGCCCAGAGCTTCTCTTTGTAATGGCATATATATTTTGAGCATACTATTAATTTTGATGCAAACTGCTGACAGATCCCGGGAACACTGATATTGACGGCTGCTGCCGTTGATAGACGCTATCCTCCAAAGATAGCCTTGATGCCCCCAGCGGCTCCCATTCCCTATTGCAGAAGTTTGTTCCCGATTTGTACAAAAGTATTTTAGGTGAAAAACCAAACCAATCACTTCCTGAAACAATCTGTCTATTCCTCGGTTCAGTTGGGAGTGAGTGGTCATTTGCAAACTATATCTTATCCGATTAAATTCAGAGCTCATTGGTTCAGATGGGAACGTGTGGCAGTGTTTGTGTTCAGTTAGTGGGACACTGTAGATGAAGCACCAAGCATTAATATCATTCACAGCTTGTCATGATCTGTCTGTGTTTTATTTTGTATTGTCAAGATCTGTCTTTGTTTTCCCGTTTTACTTTGAAAGGTGTTCAGCCCCTGTCTCATGTCTGCATTTGCTTCCTGTCTGTGTTTTCCCTCCTGTCTGATTGTGTTCACCTGTTGCCTAAATGACCAAAGATACACTCTAATAATGTGTTGCCGCATTCAATTGTACCCCCAAATAAAAATGGGGGATTTAAAACAGGCACTGTGACCAAATCGGGAACTTAGCAGATATAATAAGTAACATTAGCTATACAGAAATTATACTAATCATAATTGTAATTATAACAACACGTGTTGATATGCATGTATTTTGAACAAGAAAACACAACATTGAATGAATGAAGACAAATTCCAAGCGTTCAACTACAATCATGAAAATCATTAATCTTTTAAGAAATTACCTTGGCTGTCGACATAGCTCTTCCAAAATATTCCCTAAAATTGGAGAGGAAAGAAACATTATTAGTTATTGTTTGATTAAAGCAAAAGTGGGTTATGTACGGAGCCCTGGAGGGTTCATAGACAGAAAAATAAATAAAACGAGGCCACATTTTATTAATTTGTGCGCATAATATACTCTCTCGTTCGCACAAGATAATTTCTCATTCGCACGAGAAAGTTACCGGTGCGCTAAGTCGGACGTGGAGCACACAGGAGACAACCGTTTCATTGCAGACTGTTATGTGTATGTGGAGAAATGGCAGTGCATACATTATTTGAGATATATTTCAAACTCTGACTTCATTTTAGAGACATTTCGGCCAGGGGTGTAGAGCTATTTGTTTAAGCACCGGATCTGCAAAACCAACCCAGTCTCACAAAAAAGTGTGTAAGAACTACGTTGGTCCACAACTTGGGACGTAGTATTTCTACAAAAATGCCTCTGAAATTGTAAGATCCCTACGTTTTTTTTCACCATTCATTCCAATGGCTATGTCACGTGATCTTTACATTTTTCCCTGCAGAAAAAAAAAAACATGGTCGAACTTCGTTTTATTCTTGGTGTAAAATGCCTATTTTAAGGTTAGTTTGGCCATTAAAATGCGTTTTGATGTCATTTGATGCGAGAAATATGAGTTGTTATTTCAGATTATGTGTGCAGTGGATGTACATGATCTTTAGTTTGCTAGTTATTACGAAGATTACTTCAGGAAATTGTGTCTATACAACGTTTTCATTGTTACCAAGGTGGTTGCTAGGGACGCTGCTATCGATATTATTTCTGTTATGTTGTGTAACTGTTTAATGGTGTTATCTTTATTGCTACCCCGTTCCCCGTCAATTTATAGTGTTGGTGCACAGCGCAAACGTATTAGTTTAACAAAATCCGCATCTAAAATTGTGGCACAGATACGTCCCAAGTTGTGGACTAACGTAGTTATTACACGTTTTTTTGTGAGACTGGGTTGGCAAAACAGGAGAGTCTGTGAACCAGTCTGCCTTGATCTATGAATTCATGTCCGTGACTCTCACAGTATCGCTATCTGCGCGCAGAGAGCTGTGTCTTTTACTCGCCGCCTTCACTGTGTTTACCTTCATTAGAACAGCTGAATAAAGATCGAGGCTGCTACGTTTATAACCCCACACACACACACAGCATAAACAGCATGTAAACAGCATTCCCACTATATGTTATTCTGCGGACAAAAAGTTTATTATTCTGCCAACTTATTTTGCCGCGCTTCTTCTCCCGCATTGAACATCGCAGAAACTCCGTTCAAACATCAAAACGTTCAGCTCGGTCGGGAATCGATGGCTATTACTTTTCTCATTCATAACTTTCATAATTCCAGAGATACATCCCATAATACATCACATTTGTAACCATTGAAGTAAATGGAGAAATTCTTCAGACTTGAACAATCTTCATGCGACTTCAACTGCTAACTGTTCATTCATACTTTCACTCAGAAACCTCATTCCAACTTCCGTTATATTTTCCGTTGATAAAGATAATTCTGGAGGAGTATTGGGACGCCTGATTGGATGGCTGTCAGTGTTTAAACTTGGTGACCACTCTGAAATACGATATGATGCGATGCGATATACTTTATTGTCCCCATAAGGAACTTTGTTCTGGACTCCGTCCTGCAGTTCCACAAACACAATACACAGACAATGACAATGGCAATGACAATGACAATGGCATGGGCGGACTGGGACTGAAAATCAGCCCGGGACTCTAGACCGGCCCACTTCGGTACCGCAAGTAAATACCGCTAGTTAATTGTCGACGGGGGAGGGGGGTGGTGCTAGTGACTTATCCGACCGGCCCACCTCGGTACCGCAAATAAATACCGCTAGTAAATTGTCGACGGGGGAGGGGGGTGGTGCTAGTGACTTTTCCGATCCGGCCCACATCATCCGACCAGCCCACTTCAGTACCGGCCCATCAGGATTCGTCCCGAACGTCCCGATGGCCAGTTCGCCTCTGGACAATGGCGACCTATTGCACAACCCTCATGGCCAACATTTAAAAGTATATAATATCACATGTGAGTGTTGAGCAGCTCAATGGACAGACAGAGGCAGGAAGGACTGCTTATAGCGGTTCAGCCTGCTCTTGGGAACCCTGCATCTTCTACCAGAAGGGAGGAGCTGGAGTTCTGGGTGGAGAATGTGGGGGTATGTTTTTTAACCCCCATAACTTTCAGAGCAGTCTTCACCAGGCTAGCGATCTGTGACTTCAACTGGACTGTCAAGTTACCATGCCAATACAAATACAATGCAAAATAGCAAATGTAACAATGTACTGATAATAACTACAGCCATGCCTTTAGTCATTAGGCATGCCTTTAACTAAAGCCCCCCACCCCCTGATGTCTGCTCTGTCCCCTCTCCTGTAAGCAGTGTAGGTGTACAGAGACAGGGCCTTCCGGAGCATTACCGTCTGGGTGTCGTCCTCAAACACCTCCCTGGCCTCCTCATAGCTGCACTGCTCCTCCACACACTCCCGCTCCAGATTGTCAGACACCACTATCTCAAAGTCCCAGCTGTTATAGAGCAGAGAGCGGGACAGGAAGGAGGACGCGGCCTGGCCGTCCAGCAGCACTGCTGCAGGACACAGGACACAGGACAGTCATATCAGTGAGGAGACATTTTTAAACTCTGGAGTGCTCTCACCTTTTAATGATCTACTGAGACCACAGACTCACAGACTCACAAGGTCGCTAGAGAAAACCAATATGATACTACAGGATTATAATTTGTGTTATGTTCATCACTTTAATGTTAAATCTAGTAAATGAGATGCTCATTTATGTTTTTGATGTATATATATATATATATATATATATATATATATATCTCTATATATATATATATATACGGCTGTGACGCTTGTAAGTTTCACCAATAGAGTTATATCTTAACCCTTTCATAATATATAGATTATTTGTTGATCATACTTTGTAATATAAATAACAATCTTAATCTTGAGAGTAAAGCTGTCAGCTAAATGTGATGAAATAAAAAGTATAATATTTGCATTTGAATTGTAGAGGAGAATAATGAAAAAGGAGATACTCGAGTAAAGTCTCTTTAAAATGTAAAAACAGTACAGAACAGTACAGTACTAGGCGAAGGTGCTGTTCAACAATGCACACATATTACAAGTGCCCAGTTTTATATATGAGATACAAACGTCATAATGGTGTTTTTTCTTTTGGTGGGTGCAGTGTGTCTGAGAGGAGGGTTCACCTGGAGCCGGTCTGGAGAGCACGGAGCAGCAGGTCAGCTGAAGCAGGGCCAGCAGGGTCAGCCCGGGGGGCCACCCCCCCCCCACAGCGGCCCTCACAGCTGCCATCACAGCGCTACACTGCAGGAAGTGAGCAGAAGAGCCTCAGCCGTAATGGATCCACGCCTGTTCAGACAAGCCAGTCACCTCCTCCTCCTCACTATGTGAGTGTCTCTTAAAGCTTCCAGGAAGAAAACAGCACTAACTCTTTCAGATTCACAAAGACATGGAGGTAAACTTCTTCGTGCTGTGTTTCAGTTGAAACCGTAGTGAGATGTGCTGTTTTCCCAGAGGAACGTCACATTACAAACCTGTTGGACAGCATACCAGCTGGAGGGAGGAACCTCCACAAACCTGTTTCACTGTCCACACACTGCCTGTTTACTCACTTGTTTGGCCCACCAGTTACAATATAGCAGGAACAATGAAGAGCAGCTGATTTGAAAAAACAAACTCAGAGACGGCAGTGCAGAACCTCTGTATAGTTTAAATCTCCTAACAATGTTGTCCATTTTAGACAGAGGCTTATTATATTTACAGCCCTTAATAACATCCATTTTCTGGGCTCAATTACATTACATGTTACTTGTTAGACGCTTTTATCCAAAGCGACTTACATACTCAATACTGTAGGCAATCCCCACAGGAGCAATTTAGGGTGAAGTGTCTCAGGGACACAACGACATGCTGACTGCAGTGGGGTTTGAACAACAACGCACTAGTCCACTGCGCCACAGCCTCCCAATATGTGTCTTGGCCGTTTTCGTTGTGATCGCTAAATTCCCCTTGTTTATAATAATCACCGGTCTTTCAGCAGGATACTGTAGTGATTCAAGTGTGATTTTAGCAAACGAGTGTTTTTGTTTTGAAATCACTTCCGTGAGTTTGGCCCGGCCCCTCGCTCCAAGGACCATTTGACCATTTAGTAAGGTAAAAAACAAAAAGCAAAAAGGCCTCTCAGACAGTCTTCCGTTTACGTGTTTAATAAAGAAAAACAATTGGATGGTAGATACACGGATGATATCGTTTTATTTTTGAAATTTATTTTATTTTGCTTGACTCAGTTTTTTTTTCTTTTAAACTCATAGTTTTGCTTTATTCTGAGAAAGTGTTGCCTTATCTTTATGATACAAAACTAATCCCATACATTTCGGCATCTTGCCTATCGCAGCTTTGTAAGCTGGTGCCGGGGCTTTTTAGGACGAGGCATCAGAGTGGTCATCCCGTCATGTGTTGTCCGCCAGATACGCCAGGAGTTTCCAGAGGCCTGTACTACAAAGCTGGATTTTGGCTTAGCCGGCTAACTTCAGGGAAAGCTCGGGCTTTCCGGTCCTACGATCTCCATGGTAACTTATGCTGAGTGGCTAACCTGCTCCGGAGCAGGTTAGGTGGCAGGCTAAGAGATCAGCCTATAAAAGCTCCGCCTATCGACCAATGAAATCTCTGTGAAAATGACGTCGGCATTTGTGGATGACACTGTGGAGCTCAGATTGTGAGAGGCGCTCTCAGGCTGGAGAGGATATTTAGGGAAAGAATAAACCCTTTGGCTTTCCCTGAAGAGTATTTGTATGAAAGATACAGGTTCTCGTCAGAAGGGCTGACTTATCTGTGTCAGCTCCTCGAGCCATATATTGCTAATGCCACACATCGGAGTTGTGCCCTTACAGTGCCGCAGACGTATGTATTGCTTTGCGATACTTTGCAACCGGCAGTTTTCTTTATGCCGTGGGGGATGCAGAGAACCTAAGCAAGAATACAGTCTGCAGTGCTATTCATAAGGTCGCACATGCTCTGACAGGGCTCGCACAGACCTTTATTGTGTTTCCTGGCTAGGGGCGGATCTAGAAAAATATTCATGGAGTGGCAAGAGGGTGGCAGGAGAATTTCAGGGGTGGCATCCCCTGGCAGAAGTATATGCTGATTTAATCGCAGTCATATCAATTAATGTTAACTTGGAAAGCCACAATATTGATATTTTAACTGAATAACATAGGTGACATTATTGTGGCACATCAGTAAAGCCTTACATATAAATATATAAGGTGGCAGACATAATTGAATGAATTTTAACTGACCAATAACTGAATGAGTTTGACTCTTAGACCAGCAGGGATACCCAGTGGCGACTGGTCATTAGGGGCAGCCCCACCTAATGTCAGCAGAAAGTATTACAAATAATGATTACAAAAGAATGCAAAGAAATGCAAAAAAAACTGATTTGTCTGTACATTGCTGTTGTAGTCTGTGTTCTTCTAATTAGTGTCTACAGTGTGTGTCTATTGAGCTGTTTAGAGCCATGTGGGACAAAACCCGATCATGCCCTTCTCTCTCACTGTCTAAGTGAATGGTGACTGTAAAAACTACACTGCGCATGCTCAGAGTATTGTCCTATTTAATGTGTGTGGCAAAAAAATAATGACCATAGGGGCACTGAGCTGCCATCCCCACCATACGTCATCTCACATAATTCAGAGCTGATTGGCTGTAAGTGACACATCCTAAAACCCGGAAGTAAGCTGCACAGTTACCCTCCACAAAAAAGCAATGATATTTCTCCATGGGATTTTAGAAAATAGCTGGAAATAAGATCCGTGGGAAAGGTAGCTGTTAGATAAATGCACGTTTTGTTCAGCCGGATAATATCCACATGTCTACCCTACTTTTATAATTTTCTAATCATAAATCTATTAGATGATAGACTTTTGAAACTACAAGAAGATAAGGAGGACTTTTACAAAAAAGTAATAGAGATTTTTGTCCAGAGGGATAGGCAAATGGACTTCATCTTCAAGTCAAGGTAAGACCGCAATTTTATTGAAAATAGGATCTTACTAAGAGAGAACAATTCAATATTTAAATGATAAAATTACCTTTTTTGGGTATCCTTTTGTTGAACTGTCTGTTTAGAATTAATCTAAGCATCAGACAAAAAAAGATTTTGAAAATAATATTATATTTTGATTTAGGTCCAAATATAATATTTGTAAACCTGAAGAGTCAGTGCCAGTGCCTCACCAGCCATGAACCTCACTGCACGTCACTGCAGAAGCTTATATATAGACATCTACGTTTTTTGTGCCCCACCACTTTTGTACATATAAAAACGCCACTGGGGTACCAAATCTATGCAGACTGCTGCAATAAGTATATTAATTAACTGTCTCGTCGATGTTTGTCTAAGTTAATATGATACTATTAACAATCATATTATTCCTATCAGCTGTCAATCACTGTTATGATTCACATATTCAGTGTTATTATTAAATAAACTATATTTTTTGGAGGAGTTAATGATGAATGTTCCACAAGATGCTTGCTCACCCTGCTTCAAATTTGAAAGACAAGTAATTACTATCATATATCAAAACAATCAAAGGAACAGTTCAGCGCCCCACAACTTCATTGCAAACACTTACTACCTTGACTTTACATCAGAAAGAACAAACATTAAAGAAGTGACTAACTGCATCAGTTAGGGTTAAAAAACGTGTATTCAGCTAAAACATATACATCGCTGCAGTTATTATCCAGTGGAAAGTCCATACCAACTGGCCTAGTTAAATCAAAGTGGTTACTTTCTTTTGGCTGGGCAGTGTAGTTTTACACACCGTCTTATTTTACGTTATCAGGACTTGAAACTGTTTTTTGGGGGCAGAGCCCCACAAAGAAAAAATATATATACACACATAAGGTTATCATCTTAACAGTTTTTTTATGCTCATCGAGTCATCCGTGAGCAGAGCATCAAGTTGACATGTCTATTACAGCTGAATGCGGCAATTACCATCTTGTTCAGCAAAACGCCTCACAAACTGAGTAAGATCAACAGCTTTAGTGGGTTTTGATTCAATGCTGAGTACAGCCAAACTTGAAAGTCTCTTCTCTGTCATTGTAGATCGCAAATACCTCATTCCTTCCGTCTGCTTGGATCCGAAATGCTTCTCGTTTTGCGCTGTCAAATGAAATCATATTTCCATGCTCGCGCCAGGGCCGGGGGAGGGGTTACAAGACTTGCGTCTTGTGCTGCATTCACTTGCACTCGGACATTAGAGACTTTCTCTCATTAATTGTCCGATGAGCCACAACTTTTCTTTCAAAACAAAGCTGCCAACTAGAGTGGCAAGGCATTTTTCTGAGGTGGCAGCTGCCACCCCGTTGAACCGCCACTGCCTGGCACATGTCCCACGCAGACGATCAAAGAGGGATTTTACAGCATGGCAGGTATTGATATGTGATTATATATTACAGTGAATGTTGTTCCTATGACGTACACTGTTGTATAATAAATGAAGCCTATTTCATAGGGTTTCCCAGGGTGCTTGGCTGTATCGACTGCACACACATTCCGATCTCTGCGTCCCTGGGAGAAAATGAAGGCGACTATGTCAATCGCAAATTCCTCCACAGCCTCAACATTCAGGTAAATCTTGCACATGCACTAGAACACACATTGAAGTCTGGGTGATTAAAGGAAATCACACATTTAAATCTTCACACAGTACATGTTTCACACTTGGACTATCTTTCTCTATAACATGGACTCATTTCAAATGAACATTGATGCTACACTGACTATGATGCTCTTATTGTGGAAGTAGGCTTGTTAATCCCACATGCTTTTGCAGGCCACCTGTGACCACAGGTGTGTCATTACCAGCCTTGAGGCAAAGTGGCCTGGATCAGTCCATAACTCCAGGATCCATGACTCCAGGATCTTCTCTGAGTCATCACTGTAACTTAACGTCACAGCAGGCATAACAACAGCCGGTGTTTCTCGTGAGTGTTTTCCCCGGGAAACAAACACAATACACACAAATGCAAAAATACACACACACACACACTCGCGAGCTTCCCCCAGACCAGTAATCCAAACGAAAATATCTTCCCTCCATTACTGATTTGATCATTTGCTCCGCTAATAATCAATCAGATCGATCCAGAGAAGAGGAAACTTTGAAGGCCCTTTTCTCAAAATGATGACTCGGTGACAGTCATTATATAATGTGACATATTTCGCTTAATATTTGGAGTACAAAAACAATCCTGATATCATTAGAAAGCTAGGAATCTCCTCTTTCCAACGGTGTATACACTCAAAATGTGTCTTCGGGTCAAAGCGACTGATTTCGATGGAGCAGCAGGTCACTTTGCATTAGGTAAAATAAAGCAGGCAGACATAACAGGAAGAATATGTAAATGTTTACCCAATCAAATAGGACATTGTCGCACCATTCAAATGTATCCATGTAGGCCTAAATTACAACCAATAAAAAAGCTTAGATGTGTTTATTTGTTACGTTTACGTTATTTGTTACATTGTCAGCCGTTAACCTATATCAGGGGTGCCCAACCAGTCGATCGCGATCGACCGGTCGATCGCGGGGAGATTCCCAGTCGATCGCGAGATGTGTCTAAAAATAGAACAACAATATTCTGTTTTATCGTTAATGTCCTATAACATAATCTTCCCGTGCCAGAATAATGCACTTGAACGCACCAAAGCTTTGTGATTGGCCGGCGTGACCCCATGTGTGGGGGCGTGGCTGGTGGGCAGTGGGCACTATTTCGCTCACGTTGTCCGTGTCAACAGGAGTGACAGTCCGCACACACACAAGACCGCAATTATGGCAGAAGCAAAAAAGCCCAAAATATATAATTTTCACTCCGAGTGGGAGGATGATTATTTTTGAATCTGTTCCAATTCAAAGTCCATCTGTCTCATCTGCAATACGAGCGTGGCTTTATCGAAGAAGGGTAATTTAGGAGCGGCATTTCAAAACAGTGCACAAACACTACGAGACGGAATTCCCTCCTAATTCTGCCCTATGCTCCTAAAAGGGGAGGGGCCTGAGAGGACAGCTAAATGCACAGCAGTCCATTTTCACCAGGCCCAACAACAAGAGCAAGGCTGCTACCATAGCATCTTATCGTGTCAGTCACGTTCTTGCGAAACACATGAAGTCTTTCAAAGACGGCGAAGTTGTGAAAGAAGCATTCCTAGAGGCTGCCGACGCGCTTTTTGGGGACAGTAAAAATAACAGAAGCATTTCAACAGGTTTTTGATATAATACAAACTCAAGTTAGATACCGTTATTAATCAGCTGTACATTTTTGTTTGTTTGAACTTATTCATTATAATTATTGGACAAAATGGTATAAGAATGCAAACTTAAATTGATTATAGTCTATTATCAATTCAGGTTAAGAAACTAGTGTTGCTTGCATCCTATTTTAAAGGCATTTATTTTTATACTCGACTAAAATGCAACAAAAAAAGGGTTTGATTCTATTCATTTTGTCTTTTTTATTGCACTTGGCAGCAGATTCCTGTGTAGCTTCAGATCTGAGTTGTCTTATTAGTAAGCCTAATTTTATTGGCAAAGAAAGGGTTCAGCGTCTTTTCTTTTTTTCCTGTGTCATATGTGGCAGCACTGTTCAATGTTTCTTGAAAACATTACCCACTGTAGTATGTGACGTGTGAATAAACTCCAACTCTGTATCAACAACACTGGTGTGTAACTTCAGTTAAATACGTGTATGTGTGTAGATTAGAAAGAGGTAAGATAAAGGATCTGCAGTATTTTATGGAGTATTCATCGTACAAAGGTCAGTTTTATACAAGTAGAAGTGTGTATTCACCTGGTAGTAGGCTGTCAGTAATGGCTACGCCTCTCTATTTGGACTGGTAGATCTCGGCAGACTGGCAACTTTAAAAGTAGCTCTCGGTTCAAAAAAGGTTGGGCACCCCTGACCTATATACACTTGCAAACATGTCAGAAGAACCGGCGCATAAGAAAACAAAATACTGTCAAACTAAACTGAAATTCAACAACTTGAATGTCACATCCCTGACATTTGCCTGGACCTTCAACCATAGAACCAGCGCAGCCAGATGAACCCCAAAGCAGCAGCTCTGCGGCCGCAGAGGCTGTCAAAACCGCCGCCACCGGCATCGTTGAACCGAAATAGGCTGGTTCTGACTGCATGCTGCAACAAGTCCTCCAACTCATACGACCAAATAGGCCGATTGTTCAGGTCCAATTATTACAATTAAATATGTCGTTTGTTCAGGCGCTTAATACGTCCTATAATTACGTTTTAAAGTTTTCGCCCTCTAGTGCTCCCGTTGAATGCAAACGTTACAGATGGTCGTTTATTCACAAATAACCCTCTCTGTAAAATCCTAAATTGTAGGATAGTTTGGCCATTAAAACACTTTTTGATTAGATTTCTAGCAAGAAGTGTATATTGTACTTTTAGAATCCATGTCCAGTCGATATGTAGGATCTATAGTTCTATAGATATTACGATGATGATTTGAGGTATGCGGCAGCCTCCATGTAAAGTTACGGGTTGAAAACAGTATTTCCGGTCTCGACGTTTTCATAATAAAACCAATGATCAAATGATTTAACAGTGATTTCTGCACAGGGTTGGGTTGTAACGGAATACATGTAACGGCGTTACGTAATCAGAATACACAAATCAAGTGACTGTATTCAGCTCGCGTTACATTTGAAAAACGAGTAGGCCTAATCTGATTACAGTTACTTTCGCAAACCTGAAGTGAATACATTTTGGATTAATTATTGGAATTATTGGTGGAAAGATTTCCTCACAACATTTAATATTCATTACTAAAGGTACAGCCGAATCATCACAGCACACTAAACCTATTACCGCCGCAGATGGACCAAAAAAGGGAGCGTTTGAAAAAAAAAAGGGGCAGGTCCGCTCAGTGAAACGATAACAACGAAACATGGAGGAACAGAAGTCTGCGTTTAAATCGTGTGTGTGTGTACAGTGGCGCCAGCAGGAGGGGCTAGGGGGGGCCATGGCCACCCTGATATATTTGTTGGCCCCCCCACCACACACACCGCCTCGCCAGTCACGTATGCGCAGTAGTTTATCTGATATTTAACAACAAATACACAGCCAGCGAGTCGCTTGATTTGAGCTTCCAAGGCTCATACTGCAGCCCCTCCCTCCCCCTCTGCTACCATGGTAACACTCTGATACTCGGCGCACCACTCTGATACTCGCGCGCACCACTCTGATACTCGCGCGCACCACTCTGATACTCGCGCACACCACTCTGATACTCGCACGCACCACTCTCTGAGATTCGCACAGACAGCAGCAGGTTGCAGCAAAACGTTTCTTTCTACTGACTTGTATGGAAGCAAACAAGAGACAGAAGTATTTGAATTTTATCAGACACCGAATTGATAGCATTGAAAATAATTACTTTGAAAATCATGTATCTGAATTTTTTTTGGTCCGAATTTACCTATGTGAAATAAAAATGTAAAAATTCAAGTTAAAAAAATGTGAATGTTCAAATTCAGATCCCAAAAATTCAAGTGAAAAAAATTCGACGTCAAATATTGCGGTGTTTAAAATTCGATGTCAAAAAATTCCGTGTATAAAATTCGACGTCAAAAATTACAATGCAGCATCATCCGGGCTACTCAGACAGGATAAGCAATCGAGTCTGAATGCAATCAAACCGACTTCTGGCCTATCAGAGCCAAGCGGCAAACCCCGGGACAGTGCGGTGAAGCCCAATGCTGCAAACTGTAGGCGATGGATGCAGATGGGAGCAATTCCCGTAGACCCTAGGCTTGTTTGAGACAAGCGAGACCTGCGCAGACCTGCGCAATTGCGATCAACGTCTTGCTAGTGCGTTGCATGATGGTTAGTCATTTTGTCCGACTTGCTCTGGAGGCTCGCCTACATGAGACGTTGAAATCTCGCGGGACAAAGACGCCCGCAGCCTTAAGAGCGAGGCGCGGCGAGTCGGTGCAGTTCCTCTCCACGGGCTGCGGAAGCGAAATGCTTGATGGGAAACGACTCGCTGGTATCTCGAGCTGAGCGCTCATTGGTGGTTTTTACCACGTGCTGCTGATGAAACTCTCCAATTGGCTTGGCAAAAGTTTGTTGTTGTTTTGTGTCAGTTTTACGTCGCCCCTGCCGTTCACATTTTTCATCATCGTTCCACAATGTTTATCATCATGAAATTAATATCTATATATTTTATACTATACTTGCACTGCTTACAGTTTTCATACTTTATATATCTTAGCATATTCATACACACTGTTCATACTCACAGGCTGCTGTGTATATCTAGTGTATTCATACCCTGTTTATTCATCATTCAATTCATTCTATATTTTATTCTGTAGATTTTGTACATTACTTTTCACTTTACTGCTTGTTGCACCTGGTTAGAAGCTAAAGTGCATTTCGTTGTCTCAGTACCTGTAATATGTGCAATAACAATAAAGTTGAATCTAATCTTGAGCAGGAACAAATGTATTTACTTAGTAGCCTACATATCTGACATTAACAATTAAACACGTGTGTGCATTCTTTATAAATGCAAACCGAGTCAAGCCGACTCCGGAGGTGGCGGTATGCACCTTAAAGTTGTTTGCAATCCGCCAAAAAAACTGAGAGAAGAAGAAGAAGACGAAGCCGACTCCGAGCATGGACTCCGAGCTGTCCGACTTCAGGCGAGCTTTTTGAGACCTCCCCCGGCTGCGATCGGCTATTCTCGTCTACTTTCGAGGCGAGCCGCAACGCGTCTCAAACAAGCCTCCTATGTTACAATGTCCAACTTAACATCAGAAAATGAACATGTTTCTAGCCTGGATCCACAAAAACATATTCTGTATTTAGATTCCCCCTTCATGACAACGGGACTGCTGCTCCTAGCTCCTCTGTCTCACTGCTAGCTCTGTTAGCTCCATTGGCTCCGT